AAAATGGACCCCCCAGGAAGTAAAGGAGGGGTCTGAAAATTTGAACCCCATCATTCTTGGCCAATTGGCACCCTTTTGAAGCCAAAACAGCAAAAAATTCAATTTTGGCAAAAAAATCCTACGGGATTACATACCATACCGCACTATTAGGAGAAGTTTATTATTCAAAGAGTATTTTGAATTGAATGGAACGTTTCAACTCAGTAAGCACGACTTAGATTTGTAAAAGTTGTTTTTAAAAACAAGATTTTGGTGAAAAGCATTCAAAAACATCCTTGCATCGATTTGAATAACAATCATGTTTGTCGCATGATACTTCTTAATAACTTTGTTTTCTTTCTCGTTTGCAGGGAGAGAAGAAGCTATGTCACGTTAAAAAACATCACAAATATCGGTCTATTGCGTATATACACATAAATACAGAATAATCCATGTGAATATAAGAATGTCATTTTAGAATAATTCATAAAAAATTACCTGACATTATACTATAGCATCAATACTTTGCCGGTACCACATTGTCTTTAGCCAGTATCATAATGAAGTTATCATTCTTTATCCAGTTTAGTGCAATGTTTTTCGTCATATAAAGATGCGCTATTTGTTTAGTGTTGAGATGCTAGGAAATGGTTTCAAGAGTACATTACACAAACCTGAACCATTGCACAGTGATGGTGGTTCTCTCTCTCTCTCTCTCTATGCATTATCAACTACGTAGAAAGCAACAACAACAAAACTTAGGGTTATCTGGGATAACCGCGTTCAGTGGCAGGGGCGATAGTGAGAGTTAAATTAAAATAGGTTTTAGCTACCGAGCGCTTGCGCGAGGCGTTCAAGCAAGTCATATAAAATTGACGCTTCACCCCCACTCCCTCCCCGTGTTCTAAACTGGAAAAACATCGGTCTCAGGGACTGTCGATTTTTAGAAGGAACAAATTCAACGACAACAAAAGAAAACGGGAAATTATCAGGCTTCAATCGATGGCGATATTGCAGGGACTTTCTGCAGAAAATACCGGATGGATTTAGTAAGGAAAATCCAAGCTAACTCTTACCCGATGATGGAGGGGACAAAAAGCTTTGGAACGCTCAACTTTTTAGTGAAAAACCCAAACTTGTAGTAAAGTATATTATTTATTTAAAAAACTTGAAATAAGTCGAGTAGATAGAGAAGCAATTATGCATCCACCCCGAGCCCTCCGTTCAAGCAATCAATCAATCAATACATGATTACATGGGAGCTGATCTTTTGCAGTTGCTTGACCAAACCTTTGGAACATTCTTTCCAATTCCATACGACATGCACCCACTTCTGCAACGTTCAAATCTGTGCTGAAAAAGCACCTCTTTGGCCTCTGTTAATTAGCTTAAAATGTATTTTGTCCTTTATTCCGCTATTTGTTTTGACCATGTTAGCTACCTTTATATTACGATAGTTTAATACTTTGATATTATGATACGGTAAGATAGCTATTTTCGTAGTTATAAGATTTGTATATTCTCTTTGTTGATTTCTTTTTTTTGGTGATTATATTTCACAAATTGTCATTCATGCTTGTACAGCGTTTTATAATAATAATAGTTCGTTCGTATGTACCCGAGCATCGGATTCAGGCTTACCCACACACATTGTATGCCCATTCTCCACTTCCTGGGGAGCATTCCAGCCAGGCGTCATTTTTACAAGCGCACACTCTTGCTAATCTAACAACATTAGCTTTCGCATCCTACATGGTACCCTTTAGCACCTGGGTGGAGAGTGGCAAATGTAGATTAATGTCTTGCCAAAGGACATAGTGCCGCGGCAGGACTTGAGCCGCGAACCTTGTGATCCACAGTCCGGTGACATATCCACTCGACCACGACACCTCTTTATACATATGTATTATTATTATTATCATATGTGAATAGAATTGAACAGGGGTTTGGGAGAGAAATATACCTAAATTGAATTTTATAAACAGGTGTATAAATACCTACAAATTATTTAAGCCTTAAATTACTGTAGACGATAGCAACACATTTCAGGAAGAAAAACAAAATGAATTCGTGATCTAGCAACTTACCATCTTTAGAAATTGGGATAGATCCGGCAAAATTGAAGATAGAAAGCAAATTTTCTCTGGATCTCAGGTAGCCTACCTATACCTCTCTTATGGTTGACTTGCTTTCAAAAAGTGACAAGGGTGCAGTGATGTCAAAGAGTATTATACGGACATATAAAGCACGTGACCATATGCTGGTAATGTTGTCGTTGTTGTTGTTACTTTAGTTTTAAGACCAGTTTTATAGTCCGTAGTGAATATTTGCGCCAAAGAAAGAAATCAAGGCTATAGTATTTGCCAAGACGTTTCCTTACTATTTCTTCTTTCATTATTTTGCTATTTTAGTTTTAGTAAATAGCATAATCGTGATATCCGTTCTAATAATACAATTTGCCCCAGGACCAGTACCAGTGACAAGGAGAAAGTTGATAACCAAAAGTTTGTGGGAAGTGCAAAAATAGTTCGCCCCGTAATCATGATACTTAGAACATCTTTCTAGGATTTTTAGAAACACGTTTGACGTACTTTGTAATGTTGAAGGCGTTACCTCGATGAATAAGATCTAAAATAATTACCTGCATTTTTTAAGTTCAAATTTGCTTTGACAGATCATTGAGAAGAGGAGAAGGGATTTTAGGAAGAGAGAGAGAGAGAAAGGGAGGTGGCAGAGGAAAGACGAAGAGTAAATTGGTGGGATATAGATGCACACAAAAAGACAGTAATCAATTAAATACCCTGTGATCAATATCATAGACTGCCAGAGGCAGATCACTGTTGCGCATTGCGACATATTGTTACGCCACCTTTGAAGGAAACAGAGCCTAGCTAGCCGCCAGCGCTTTCACTTGTTTTCAAGATTTTCCTTCGGGTTTTTGAAAATAATGCTTCAAAACAAATCGACCTTTATGCATGGTCTGTTTATTTATTTTCATTGCCAACCCTCGAAAACGAATTTATTATGCATTTCACAGAGGAATGTTTGCATAGAAGAACTATATATATATATATATATATATATATATACAAATTAGTTATTGGGCTTATTTTGCTTTCTAATTGATCCGTACAATATGGCACAGCTTTAGGGGCGTAAAAGAGCCCCTACCGGGGTTTCCGGGGCAGAGCCCCAGGATGCTCTCGAGTTTATTTGATATTAAGAGAGGTTATTTCTTAAATGAAGTGAAAGGTCTCTTGAAAATAAAATAGCCCTTTCATTTCATTTTAGAAATAAACTCTAATCCATCCCTTGGTATTAAAATTACATTGCTCCTACCTAGTGCTTTTTCCACACTCTCCCTTAGCTATAAAGGGGGCTTTATTTATTTGATCATCAACAGAAGCAAAATGCTAGGCCACGAACTTTTCGAAAAAACAGATTAAGATCCCATGCGACGCTTCGAAATGTGAAGAAGAATGAGACAAATAAAGTTGAGATTCGACCTTTATGTCTAGACGTTGCTTAATGCATTTTGTATTGGTATTATATTCCATCTGAGAGTGATTATAGACGTTAGTTATATGGATAATAATGATAAAGCTGTCCGGGTCTTTGAATATAATGCTTCAAAACAAATCGAACAAGCTGTTTATTTCTTTATCCGTGGTCTGTTTCTACTGTTTATCTATGTTCCTTGCCAACCCTCGAAAACGAATTCATTATGCATTTCACAGAGGAAAGTTTGCATATTGATGAAACATATGGGCGCAGGCCAAGATTTATACCCACTCACGTGTGAATTTGGCGCATCTTCCCTCATCTTCCTCAACCAGGAAATGGACTTCATTGTAGCCTTAGGACAGGATGGTGACATAAAATTGATAAAAGAACATCACAATCAGATTATCCGACCCCGAAAACCACATGAATTTATCAACTTTCATCATACTGGTCTTTTTCCTTTTGGAACTACGCTTGACCTTTAACTCAAAGATGACAGCCATTTTAGATTTGACCAATATGACTAGTATGGCAGCCCCAAGGAGACCTCAAATCGATGAAAGAACATCACGATCAGCTTCTCTGACCCCGAAAACCCCATAAATATATGAACTTTTATCATACTATTTGGTGATGTTCATTATTTATATTTCCGTGTACTACATTTTTATCCTGTTCAGGACCATGATGTAAAACCGATGTTGTATCAATACAATGTATATATGATTGTTGTTATCCTAAATAAATATATTTCAATTTTTTTTTTTTTAGCCCGTTTCCTTTCGTAACTACACTTGGCCTGTAACTCAGATGGCGGCTATTTTGGATTTGACCAATAATACCAGTATGACCCGAGGAGATCTCAAATCGATGAAAGAACATCTTAATCAGATTCTCTGATCCAGAAAACCCCATAAATATATAAACTTTTATCAGACCAGCCCATTTCCTTTCGTAACTACACTTGACCTGTAACTATCAGATGGCGGCCATTTTGGATTTGACCAATATAACCAGTATGGTAGCCCCAAGGAGACCTCAAATCGATGAAAGAACATCATAATAAGATTCTCTGACCCCCAAAACCCCATAAATATATAAACTATTATCATACAAGCGCTTTTCCTTTTGGAACTACGCTTGACCTTTAACTCAGATGGCGGCCATTTTGGATTTGCCCAATATGGCATACCCAGAGGGCACCCTTCTTGGCGTCCGGCAGAAATCGTAAAAGTATGGTATAATCTACCTCTGGGCCAAATGTGATGCTTTTACAAGAATCTGCACAAAAAAAAACCCTTTTTAGCCCTAACAGCTCTCATCAGTGGCGGTTCCAGGATTTTTCAAGGGGGTGGGGTCGAAGGCAACGGGTGCGCGAAGCACACTGCAATCGCCTGTAAACGCTAGCCCTACTGAATTTGGTCAAGAGGCAGACCACAGACACAGAGCACATAATTTCATATTTATTTACAATTATTCAGTGGGGCTTATTTTACTTCTTAATGGATCCGTACAACATGGCAGAGTTGGGGGGCCTGGCAGAGTCCTCGCTGGGGGTTCCGGAGCAAAGGCCCAGGATGCTCTCGAGTTTGGCAATTCAGAGCATCTAGATCGCCGTCGTGAGCGATAAAACTTATAATCCACCCCTTTAAATTAAATTGCAGTGCCCCTATTATGTGCTCTTTTTAAAGAATACAAAAAAGCCCTCATATTAGGCATTCCATCTCATTCAGATGTAGATTACGACCTTAATACTGGGAACAACATAATTATGGGATGATGCCCACATAATTGAGTTTGAAACGCACTTCTGGTCAACAATGGTAGAAGAATCTGTCTCCATAAAAAGATTAATCTTTCACTGAATAGGGATAGTTACATTTCTTCGCTCCAGTGATCTCGAGGCAGCAGGCAGCAACAATTTGTGTTAACAATAAAAGGTCCACTTCAACCATTTGAACACAACACAAGATTCCGAGCATTTACAGATATTAAACACATTTATTGGTATTTTTTTTTTGCAATTTGCTTTTGAATATGAGAGCAGAAATCAGCGCAGCACTGAAAATATGACTTCAATATTTGTTTCTTTCTTTACACGTTCCAATATACTGTTTAAGAATCATACTTTGCAGTTAGGTGTGATGGTCTGAGTATGGGAGACACTCGTCAGATTCCATGTGCAAAAGGCCACAATTCGCTGACACCAGACTTGGTGGATAAAAATCATTAACGTGTTCACAGGTATAAGATATGCACACAGCGTACCCGCATGCTAATCGAGAAATACCCCCTCGACTCTCGGAGATCTCCGGTGAGGACAAAGGGGGATAATGAATTTACCAATGATCTATAAAATGTGCATTATTTATTTGATCATCAACAGAAACACAATTCTAGGCCACGAACTTTTCGAAGCGTGACCAGATTCAAAGTATGCTTAAATGGGGGCATTGGTGTATGTAGAAAAAACAGGATTAAGATCCCACGCAACGCTTCGAAATGTAAAATAAGAATAAGAAAAATAAAGTTGAGATTCGACCTTTATGTCTAGACGGTGCTTAATGCATTTCGTATAGGTATTTCCTTCCATCTCAGAGTGATTATAGACGTTATTTGTAAGGATAATGCAGTTTAAGCTTAATGCTTCAAAACAAATCGACCAAGCTGTTTATTTCTTTACTCATGGTCTGTTTCTACTGTTTATCTATTTGCATTGCCAACCCTCGAAAACGAATTCAATATGCATTTCACAGAGGAAAGTTTGCATAGGAGAACTATATAAATATATATCTCTCTCTCTCTCTCTCTCTCTCTCTCTCTCGTTTATACGAATTATTTATTGGGCTTATTTTGCTTTCTAATGGATCCGTACAATATGGCACAGCTTGAGGGGTCTGGCAGAGCCCCTGCCGGGGGTTCCGCGGCGGAGCCCCAGGATGCTCTCGAGTTTATTTGACTTACAAGAGAAAGTGTTTCTAAGAGAGAAAGAGAGGTTATTTCTTAAATGAAAATAACGAAAGGACTCTTGAATTCAAATAGCCCTTTCATATCATTTTAGAAATAAACTCTTATACACCCCTTGATATTTAAATTGCACTGCTCCTACTGTGTGCTTTTTTCACACTCTCCCTGATCTATAAAAGGTGTTTTCTTTATTTGATCATCAACAGGAATACAATTCTAGGCCACGAACTTTTCGAAGCGTGACCAGATGCAAAGTATGCTTAATGGGGGCATTGGTGTAGAAAAACAGGATTAAGATCCCACGCAACGCTTCGAAATGTAAAAAAAGAATGAGAAAAAAACTGGAGATTCGACCTTTATGTCTAAACGTTGCTTAATGCATTTCGTATAGGTATTATCTTTCATCTAATGCAGAGTGATTATAGACGTCATTATATGGATAATAAAGATAAAGCTGTCCGGGTCTTTGAATTATAATAATGCTTCAAAACCAACCGGTCAAGCTATTTATTTCTTAATTTAGGATCTGTTTCTACTGTTTATTCTATTTTCATTGTCAACCCTCGAAAACGAATTTATCATGTATTTCACGGAGGATGCTTAAAACTATCTAATACCTGGGGGAAATTATTGTTGAGCAATTAAGTAAGGCAGCCAAAATTTAGGATTTTCGCTTAATATTGTAAGAGAACTCTTTTTGTTTCTTCTTTTTTGGTCCAATTTTAGAGGGATTTTTTTAGCGGCGACTCAGCCAGCCGGTGAATAAGCGAAAGGGGAGGGGGGGGGGGGGGGAGGGGGGGGGGAGGGGGGGGGGGAGGGGGGGGGTACGGGTAAGGGGTAAGAGCACTATTTTTTTTCACAATTCGTGAGATTTAAAAAAACAACTTTGTTTTGTTGTTGTGGTCAGGGGGTGGGGAGGCCGCCCCCCCTACCCCCCCCCCCCCCGTGGATCCGCGCCTAGACTTACACCACGAGGAATATACTCCTCGTGATCCGAATCCCCCTCTATGAGAAACTTGATGATTTTATCACGTAAGGGGGACTCGGACTACGAGGAATATATAAACAGTTTTATAGTGTTTAGAGTCATATTATTTGATCATATTGAAGTTAATACCTAGAGGTGTTAAACGAATTTTGCTGTAATAGTTTATCACTAACATCAAAAGAATCTGACTAAAAACACTATAAAACTGTTTATATATTCCTCGTGGTGCCAGTCCCCCTTGCGTGTTAAGATCATCAAATATCCCATAAGACGGGACTTACTCCACGAGGAATATACTCCTGGTTGATTGATTGATTAATTGATTTTTATTCACCATGCTTCCAACATACAACAATATACAAGAATAACAGATCAAAATTAAGTCAGCTTAAACAGGATAGCCCACGAAAGCTCGAGAGCTATTTTCAGTGGGGTCCCCGACAGTCATGTACACAATTAATGAGTTAAAGTAGTAATATTGACAGACAGATATGAAGCAAAAACTTATTAAAGATGCTATGTACCTTTTGCAGCCAACAACAAAATCTGTAGAACTTTGCAGGAATTATGAATATGTTATGTATGTCCTATATGTGAAATTTAAACGTTAGCAGTGTCCTAATATTCAAATTATGCAAGGAAACCCGTTTACTTGCTAGACTTTACTTAGTCCAGAATCTGCACGGTCCTTTATAATTTTCCTACACACTCAATTCAAGCCGTCGAAGATGGCGTTATCAACAAACTCATAATATGCTCACCAGTTTTTCGCCGGGCTTCCTAATTTAATGATCACGCCATCATCGGCTGGTAGCAAGTAAGTAGGGAGAGGTAGCGTTGGTGTGGTGGAGATAAAAAATAAATAGGCCAGATTCTGGACTAGACTTCACTGTCAGACACTATTGAGTGACTGACTTGCATTTTTCATCTTTGGTAATAGCATACACAAAATGAGCTGTAAAGGATACATGAGCATTTGTCTGCATCAATAACCCACTTCTTGTAATGGCCAAAATTAAACTAATTGAATCTTTTCGCAGCATAAAACGTACGACCATTCGGTACAATGGTCTGAAAAATCAAACTATTACTTACTGGCTATATAGCTCCTAAGTCGATTCGACAACTAATAGTTGTTAATTTCCCACTTAAAGACATTTTCAAACCCCCTTTTTTGTAGGGAAGTTCTTAATTAGTATTGTCTTTCAAATGCCGTTGGAATTTAACCTTTTCATTTTTTGGCCTGCAAATGGGACATATTACCTTTAAAGATGATAACATCATACTGTTTTTATTTCTAGGTTTGCCCTAGCAAGTAGACACGCCATAGCCATGCCGTAGAGCGGTTCTATGGCGAACATACGTCGGGTGTACGGTAGCCTTGCGTTTTATATACTCCAGGGGTAAAGCGGTAGCATCAGTTTGGCCGCACAATCGCCGTATTGTCCCCCTTCGGCCGTCTTGCCTTTACCTTGCGTCTGTCTTAGTATTTTTCAACGAGCTACGGCCGCCGCCTAAGGCGACCGTGCGTCATCACTTCAAAGGCCGTACGGCAGTCGCATATTTTTCTGTCTCAACAATTAAAAATACGCCGTGCGGCTACCCTCACATAATATGTGACCACTACCGTATGTGACCGTGGGAATGATGTGGCGGTCCTATAATTGCTATTGACCGTAGCTATTTCAGACCGCACGGTCGCCGCGGCAAACAGTGAAGGACGAACGCACGCACACATGTTCACGTAGCCCTATGTACATTACGCAGAGCGTACGAGTGAACGGGCGAGTTTATGTTCATGTGACCTATGACACGTTGACGTCATTCGACTCCAGTGGCTATTTACGAACTCGCTTATTGAAGAAAAAATATGTATTTATTTCTCTCTCTCTCTCTCTCTCTCTCCTCTCATCTTCTCTCCTTTCCTCTTATATCCACTCTTTCTCCCTATCTCTTCCTTCTCCTCTCATCCTCTCATCCTCTATGTCTCTCTCTCTCTCTCTTCCTCTCCCCCTCTCCCTCCACTCATCTCCCCTTTCTCTCTCTCTCTCTCTCTCTCACACACTCTCTCTCTCTCTCCCTCGCTCCCTTTCTCATCTTACCCCCTCTCTCCTCTTACCCCCTCTCTCTCCTTCTCTCTCTCCTCTCTCCCTTCCTCTTGCAGACCATGGTAACTTTGATTGGTTACTGTTAAATATACTATGTCCTTTTTGCATCCAACATCAAATTATGTAGAACTCTGCAGCAATTATGAATATGTCATGTTTGTCCTATCTGTAAAATATAAACGTTGGCAGTGTCCTAATATTTAAAGTATGCAAGGAAACCCGTTTACTTGCTAGACTTCACTGTCAGACGCTATTGATTGACTGACTGTTTTTTTTTCTTTTTTTGTAATAGCATACATAAAATGAGCTGTGAATGGTACATGAGCATTTGTCAATAACCTACTTCTTGTAATGGCAAAAATTAAACTGATAGAATCTTTGCGCAGCATAAAACGTACGACCATTTGGTACTATGGTCTGAAAATCTGACTATTACTTACTATGGCTCTGATCTATATAGCTCTTAAGTCGATCTGACAACTAATAGCCATTATTTTCCAACTATACAGACATTTTCAACCCCCCCCCCTATTTTTTGTTAGTGAAGTTCTCAATAAATATTTTCTTCCCAAATGCTGTTTTTGAATTTGACGAATTGTTTTTCTTAATCTCTCCATCAAGCTTGGTGCACCCGGTAACCAGGGCAACAAGCCTATAGCCTACATCCAAGGTGGTATCCATGCCCGGGAGTGGGTCAGCCAAGCTACCATGATGGGACTCGTCAAACAGGTAATTTACAGATTAAAACCTACAATACGAAACTATATTATCCTATTTTAACATTTAATGTGAGGCGCGATGGCTCAGTGGTAGAGCAGTGGTCTCGTAACTGGGACAGGTCCCGGGTTCGAAACTAAGTCCATGGGCCAGTGCCCTCTGGTAAGGCATTAATCCTCATTACCAGGTCCCTCGGAGAGGACTTCGAGCCGTCGGTCCCCTGGTTGCTTACAAACAACCATACACATGCATTCTTAGCAATCAGGTAAATCAAACCAACCAACCAAAATATATATATATATATATTAAAATAGATTGTCGGATCCTAACCAATCTGCATATAGATCCCATCATAGTACTGAAAGCGCACTTATCAAAGTAAAAAATGATATTCTGTCTGCTATGGATAAAGGTCGAGTGGTTTCATTGTTGTCATTATATCTGTCAGCAGCCTTCGATACTATTGACCGTCATATTTTAATATGTCGGTTATCAACAAGGCTAGGAATTGAGGGTGCAGCTCTGAGATGGTTTAGGTCAAATTGTGAAGACTGGTCCACGTGTGTTGAAATTAGAGGGAAACAGTCACTAGTTGCTTCTAACAAAGTAGGTCTCCCTCAAGGATCCGTATTTGGACCCATAGGATATACAATATATACTTTGTCTGTCCCAGACATCGCTAGACATTATAAGGTTTCATATCACACTTATGCTGATGATACACAGTTGTATGTTACATTTAACCCTAAGCAACCTAATGGCTTTGATACTGCATTGAAAACTCTTTCAGATTGTGTCACAGATATAAGTATGTGGATGGGAAGGAGTAAGCTTAAACTAAATGAGGAAAAGACAGAGTTTTTGGTAATCGGCTCCAAACACAACTTGGGAAAGTTAATGATGTTAATCTTACATTTGGAAACACCCAGATTGCACCATCTACATCGGTCAAGAACCTTGATGTAATTGTTGATTACAACATGTCCATGTCTAACCAAATAGACCAGCTTTGTAAATCTGTACGATTTCAGTTGAAGAGTATATCACAGATTAGGAAGTATGTATCTGAAGATGCATGTCATCATGTGATCCGCAGCCATGTATTTTAGTGACTGTCCTGAGTTGTATCGACCTGTGCGTACAAACCTTCGCTCCAATGCAGACCCATTTCGATTGACTTTCCATGTGGCTCGTAGTAAGGCAGGAGATCGCACATTCACTGTTGCAACAGCTAAGGAGTGGAATAAACTTCCCTCCAATTTAAAAGCTGCTCCATCAGTGGATGTTTTTAAGAAACTCCTTAAAACCTACTTATTTCCTACTTGATTCGCTATTATTTTTTGTTTATTCAATGTTATGTTAAGATGTGTGGTTATATTGTTATATAGCATATTATTGTAAGCGCTGTAATATAGTGTACTATGAATAGCGTAGCTAAATGCCTAATAATATAATAATAATAATAATAATAACAATAATAATAATATGAATTATTAATGACCGAGATTTAAAATGTGTTTTTTTTTCTATTTGCCCCCCCCCCCCCACCCCCACAAGGTCTTCAACATGACGCCAATGGTCATATGAGCATAAAATGTCAATGATGTGAAAAATAAAAAGGCGACTTCTCTTGGTCTCTTGCATTAAGTCCTATAATATAACGTTTATTTTTAATCTTAAACAATTGGATTTAAAAGAGGACCTAGAAAAATGAATTTAATTCAACTTACTTGCCGTTGACATAATAATTACGTTACATAGTAAAAACCATAATTATGATTTTTTACAACATTTTTCGATGTCTTATTACAGTGTATTTAATACAAGAGCTGATAAGCTGTAAACTATTGAAATAACACCAATCATTTTCTTTTTCTTTTTGTCTTTTTAGTTTGACTTTCCTTGCTCATTGATCTCTCACAGCTTATCGATGGGTACAACACAAATTATAAAGTAAAAGCAATGTTGGATACCTTTGACTGGTATATTGTACCTGTATTAAACCCCGACGGATACTCATACACATGGACAAACGTAAGTCTAATCATCTTATTCATTTTTTTTAAAATCCATAATCGTAATCCTTATCATGAAATTTCTATTCCGACAATCTTCTTGTTCTTCTCTCTTATTTCACCTTTCTTCTTCTTCTTTTTTTTTCTTCTTCTTCTTCTTCTTCTTCTTCTTCTTCTTCTTCTTCTTCTTCTCTTTTATTTCTTTATTTGTCCTGCTTATATAAAATCTATATTTTTTTTAAGGGTTTTCAGTTTATTTTTTTACCTGTTGACTTTATAGTCTATTTCTCCTATTTTCGATGTCTATTCCTCGTATTCTAACTTGATTCAATTATAACCCTCGTATTGTAAGTCTATATTATCAGTTTGTGCATCTTATTCTGATTTTACTGATTATTTAGTCTCGCTGATGTCTCATAGGCCTATGATTTTAATATTTTTCACCGTTCTTAACATGTGACTTATTTCTGTTTAAAGTCATTTCTAGTCCCTGAATATCCCAGCAATTAAATTTCGCCCTCATAATGATATTATCGTCCCGTTCGTTTTACCTAATGATAAGTTCAATTGAAGCACTAATAAACTTTTGCAGACATATAATGCAGAATATTACCATTAATGCATTTATGTGAAGTATTTGCATTGAACTCGTGATCCAAATTAGCTCTTTGCCTACATCCATAACATTTGGCGGACATACGTGTATGTAATTTCATTCATATCGCTACAGGGTCTTTGCCCTTAAAATCAGATACGGCACCTTATATGCAGAAATATTCGTCTCTCTTTTTCTCTTTTTTCTCTCTCTCTCTCTATTTCTCTCTCTTTCTTCCACTCCCTCCCTCTCTCTCTCTCTCTCTCTCTCTCTCTCTCTCTTGTTTCTAATTTTCTTTGTTCATACTCTTTCTCTCTCTTTCTATCTCTCATTATTTCTCTCTCTCTCTCTCTCCCTCTCTCGATCACTCTTTCGAATTTTCAATTTCTCTCCTCCTCTCCGCCTCTTTCTTCTTCTTTTATTCAACTCTCCTCATACTTTATATCACCTCTTTCTCTCCCATCCTCTCTCTATTTCTTCTTAAACGTTTTTCTTTTTCTTTTTACTTTCACTGTTCAAAACTGCAGGACCGTATGTGGCGTAAAAAACAGACGCAAGGCTGACGGAAACGTTTGCACAGGAATCGACCTCAACAGAAATTATGCCTATGAATGGGGAGGTAAGTTCAAGAGATGTTTCATGGGAAATGTTGCGAACGAGGCGTTTTTCGATTGCACTATTACCTGTGCTAATCGAGCCTCTGAGTGTAACTACTGCGTACACATGCACTTATTTCATAGCAAAGTTTGCACTATTTATTTAGCATTCAATTTCTGAACGATATCACTCTGATCAAAAGCGCATCGGTGACGGCACCCGTCTTTGACGCATTCCTACGTCAGCGATCAAGCCTCGTGTGCAATGAGCCTTTTATTGCATGATGCCCATGAAGGATATTCTGGCATATGAAAACATATGACAGGCCGAGGCGCAGCCCCAGGCCACCGACGCAACCCCTTGACGCAGGGGTGAAATTTAATACAGCTACCGAAAGGTTTTGGGGCTTGTCTGGAGAAAAAAAGTACCCCACCAATCATTTATTTGTTTATGAATTTCAAATCATACTTGCAAAAGTGGCGTTTCTACCTCGGCTGCCATTAAGTCAAATAAAATGTCATTAGTTTGCATTTAATCATGTTTAATTTATTTGATTGAATTGGATATAGGCCTAGATGAGTCAAACTGAATCAAACTGAATTGTATTAAGGAATTCAAATGGTTAATTTTGGGAATTCAGTTCAACTGAGTTAAAACTGAACTGAATTGAATGAAGTGAGTTTGAAATCTTGTTGTCTATCCCTCAGGTGATGAAGCTAGCCCAGTGAGCTGCAGTGAGACCTACCGGGGTCCTAGACCACTCTCGGAGCCCGAGCACCGGGGTGTAACCAGCTTTCTTCTTGAAAAACAACAAACCAATGGTGTTCATCTCTTCTTGGATGTTCACAGCTACGGACAGTACTGGCTCTACCCATGTGGCTACACGGGCTCGAAAACTGTCCCCCTGCCCGATAGACGCGATCTGGTAGATAACAATTTAATTCTTCCTTTGATTTCTTAGTATTTTGTGTTTTGTATTTGTCACCAAAACTTTTCAAAGTTACTTAGAATTTGATGAAAATATTTATATTTTTATATACAGTGCGTCCCAGAAAAAACGAAACCGAAAATTATTGATGTTTTATCATAACTTAATCACATTTATAATTATTGATAAATGACACATATTTGGAAAGCTTAGATCCGCCTCTATATTTTGATATAACTCATATAATACATATTTCACGCATGAGTGATTAAAATAAATTTGAAGAGAGGAAACCAAAACGTAATTTGGCGGACGGTATCTGAATTTCAAGGAGAAAATCACATTTTTAAAAGGTTGAGTGTCTGCCCTTTCATATAACACCTCAATCAGGAAAAATTAGCAAGGAATGACAAAGTTCTGTTTATTTAAAGTAGTGCTTGCATATCCATAATTTTATCAAACGAATTCGTTTTCACTGGGTGCCTACCGTAGCAACAAACAGAGTTGACAAACGACTTAACTCCATTTCGTTGACAATCAGCCGTAGACAAAATTCACATATTCACATATTTTGACTATATACAGTTGAAAAAATAATTATATTTGCTTCTGCACTAACTATCTATCACATTTCTTTCCTATATTTTCGCTTTCTTCCATTATGTTTGTTTTTGTTCCCATGCATACTCATTATGTCTGTGTGTCTGTCTCTCTTTCTCTGTGTGTGTATGTCTGTCTGTCTCTCCCTCCCCCTCCCCTCTCTCTTTCTCTATCTGCCTTTTGACCGCATCGTATTTCAAGTTCGAACAGCGGACTACCTACATGTAATTATATATCTACAAGCGATAGTTGCCACTCTTTAGCCCAAATTTTAATTTCTTCATATTCCTCGCAGCAACTTTATGTGTTTTGCACTCAGCACTTACATTTATTGTAGATGTATTTTTCTCTTCACTGACATGTACCGTAATTAGAGTTTTCGGGGTCATAGAATGCATAAGGATAAGTAAGAACGTTAAGCAGTGGTTGAGGAAACCACGAAATCCAATATGGCGTCCAAAATGGCCATAAGTCACTTATTATCCATCCGAAAGACATAATTGGGTGTCTATGCTATCGTTTTGGGGTCATAGAATGCATTAGGATAAGTTAGAACGTTAAGCAGTGGTTCAGGAAACCATCCAATATGACGTCCAAAGGGCCACAAAACCACTAAGAGTTCTCAATAGAGGGCACACTTTATCAACAGGAAATGAACTCTCTCACCCTTATTGTGTCAACGACCCAACCCCCAGATAAAAGTTAAATTCAACTATTGACATTGTCAGCACTAAGGGAGGGGGGGGGGGGGACAAAGACAAAGTAACAACTTAATAATAATATCTAGACACACATTCATAATACCCTCCCACCATACGACTAAAAATTTTCAAATCCTTGTGTGTTCATGTCATCTTATAGCGAATACACATGCAGATCTTCACGTACCTTCATTTTGATGAGGAATGTACTTGAGTAAGAATAAATCAAGTGACTCGTTCTATTGTGGCATACATCAAGTTCGCAAGTCCACACACACTGTTACATGGTAGTTCGTAACATCTGCAGGTACAGCGAGGTGTGCTACAAGCAGTACAGCAGTTGCAATGAATCAACTTAAGAAGAATACTAGGTACATCCTCCGTATTCAACATCACTGGAACCAGGTGATTGTCCTCTAATTTCTAGCCCCAGTCTGTGACGTCCATGTCTTTTAGTTCACTCTCCATCCATGCTATGACTTGGTAGTATGTTCTGAGGGAGTGGAAATTGGTGGAGGCTGGCGTAGGAGGGAGTCGCATTAGCAATTTTCTTGACGAACAAGTTGTATCGTAATGATGCAAGTGAGTCATTACAGCAGCAACCAAACATGACAGACATTGCTTTGATACCAAGTTCCTATATTAGTTTCTGACTTGGGAAAAGAAAAGTACTAGCACTGGATTCTTAAGTGGGGCTGCATTTCACAAGCTTCTGGAAGACTGCTCTCTTTCTGATTCCAAATCTCCTGGAAGTCGAATCGCAACCAGTGTAGGCATGTCGAAAAAATTAGTTGTGAGTATAGATCTTTACCCAGGTCCACTTTCAACTGCTTAATGTTAGGGACTTTGATATTTGCACGAAGACAATGTAGATTGCTACGGTCGACGTCCTTTGATGCACTGCCTTGAATGGACGTCACACATATCAGTCCACGCAAATCTAAAAGTCCCTAATATACACATTCGGAGCCTTGGCTACATTGTCAGACCGGAAGTATAGTTCCCTGCTATCTACATCAGCGGAATGCAAGAGTAACACCAATATGTCAGTGCCTTCTGCCCTTCTCACATCAGAGTAGTAGACTGACGACGAGAATAATTCACTGCAGCTTTAGCAATATGTACATCTGCATCCCCGGATACATTGATGACGGTGCAATAACTCTTCCTCAGTTCCTCACAAATGAGACTTTTGAGGCCCTGCTTATTGCAGTCTGTTGATAAAAAACTTAAACCTTCTTGCCTGAGAATACTGTGTCTGCATTGAATCTGACAACAGGATGGGTATTCTGCCCACATCGCTGTAGTGTGTATTATCATTAATTGACGGCTCTCCACCATAACCCGTCAAAAACTAAATTTGCAGAACCAAATAGTGTTTGGGGGGGGGGGGAGTGTGAAATCAGCATATGATCGTTTTATTCTGCCATAGCTGTCTCCTGTCTTCCATGGTATCCGATGCACTAAGGAACCACCACCGAGGACATACTGTTCTGTGTTCTTATACGGCTTCACTCGACACTGATCAGTTAAAACATGAGCTAGCTGAGGCTTCTCAGCCTCCCGAAAGACATTCCTAGCCTCGATAAGTGCAGGTAGGAACGGACTGAGCTCAAAGCTCATCACCTCTGCTATTTCAACTTCCCTTGTTTTGTTTGTAAATACCTGGAACCGTTGAAACAGCAAAGCAAAGCAGCATTTATGGTTTGTTCAGGTACAGCTTTTACTTTCGAAATCTCTCCCAGAGTCGTAGTTTTGTCTTTCCTTTTGAACGAGACTATGAAAACAGCATATTGGAAGGCCGCTGAGCTATAAGCATTGATGTACCCCAGAATAGCCCACTGAAAGGAATTGACTTGCAATTAGGTTACTTCTAGACCTTCATGAATTTGCTGGAAGCAATCGGTACCTTGATGAAAGGAACTGGACTTCGCAAATTCCTTAGAACAGATTGCAGGGAACTATACTTCCACTCTTACAATGTAGCTAAGGCTCCGAAGGTGTAGAACTGTAAGCATTCAAAAGTGGACCTGGGTACGGGATCTGTGCTCACAACTACTTTTAATGGATGCTTACACCGATTGCGATTCGACTTTCCGGATATTCGGAATAGGAAAGAAAGCAGTCTTCCAGAAGCTTGAGAAACGCAACCTCACTTTGGAATCCTGTGCTATTACTTTCCTTCTACAAAGTCAGTCAAAGGAACTAATAGAGGAACATGGTATCAAAGCAATGTCCGTCATGTTTGGTGGCCGCTGCAACTCCCTCCTACGCCAGCCTCCACCAAATTCACTCCCTCAGAACATACTACCAAGCCCGGGTGGGGGGGGGGGGGAGGGGGGGGGGGATTGGGTTAGATTTGGTTTGACCGGGGGTGTGCCGCTCAAGTCTCGAAACCCCTGCCTAATTTTAGGGGTGCTTTTTCTCGAAGTAAAGCCCATTTTTCACAATGCAAACACCGACAATTTTTGAAATTTTGAAAACACAGGGATATTTTTGTTTAAAATGGGACCAATATTTAGGGATTTTTGGTGAAAAAGTGACCCATTACAGCGGCACACGCCCGTATGTCTTAATTGTGAGTACCCCCCCCCCCCCCCCCGGGGGGCTACCAAGTCATGGCATGGATGGATAGTGAGAAGACATGGACGTCACAGACTGAGGCTGGAAATTGAGGACAATCATCAGGTTCCACTGATGTCAAATGCGGAGGCTGCATCTAGCAATCTCCTTAAGTTGATTCATTGCGACTCCTGTAGTGCTTGTAGCACACCTCGCTATACATGTACATGCAGAGGTTACGGACTTCATGTAACAGCTGCGCACCTTGCCAACTTGATGTATGCCACAATCCATATAACGAATCAGTTGATAGTGAAGCAGAAGATGATTTTTCCTTACTCAGAACATTTCTCATCAAAATGAAGGAACGTGAAGATCTGCATGTGTATTCGCTATATTAAGATGACATGAACAACACGAGGTTTAAACTTGTTTAATTGTATGGTAGGTATTATGAATGTGTGTCTAGATATTGTTACTTTGTCACCCCCCTCCCTCCCTCAGTGTTGACAATGACCTGTCAATAGTTGCATCGACCCTTTTTCTGGGGGGGGGGGGGGGGGGGGGGGGGTCGGTGACACCATAAGGGTGAGAGAGAAACATTATAAGTTAATTTCCTGTTCATAAAGTGCGCTCTCTATTGAGAAACCTTAGTGGTTTTGTGGCCATTTGGACGCCATATTGGATTTTGTGGTTTCCTGAACCACTGCTTAACGTTCTAACTTATCCTCATGGATTATATGACCCCGAAAACCATAGCATAGACACCCCAAGTATGTCTTTCGGATGGATAATAGCTTTGTTTATGTTACGGCGGCAATTTTGGACGCCATCTTGGATTTTGGGGTTTCCTAGAACGTCACAAACGATTCTTACTTGTCTCAATGGATTCCCTGACCCCCGAAACCATGGGATAGACCCCAAAATTATGTCTCTGGGATGAATAATAAGTGATATATGGCCATTTTTAGGTATCGGCGGCCAACTTGGACGCCATCTTGAAAATAACAGCTTTCTGAAGCTTCGATTTTGATGTACTTTTAGTATGTTATTCCTGAGGTCGAATACTACAAGAAATTGTTGAAAAACCTTTTGTTGCAATTTTTTGGGGTTTGGGTGTTTTTTACCGTATATTGACCTGACTAATGGCCGGCCCCTCTTCAATAACGGCCCCCAAGCCTTCTGGAATGA